AATTTCCTTACAGTGTTATTTCTTCTAGACAACTGAGAGGATGGAGAAAGAGAAGTGATAAGGAAAACATTTTCATCTTGTACATCTTCCTCCAGCCCCTAAAATTCTCATCTGACACTTTGTGACATGTGTAGTGGTGTCAGCATCTCTTCAAATCTAGCTCCTTTCATGTTGGACCCTCTCCTTGGCTTCTTGAAGATCACACCCAGATAGATCACAATTCTCTAAATCAGTTCCTGCCAGAGTTGCTCCTCTGAGGTTACAGTTCTTCAACGTTGCATTTTTTAAGGTAGCCACTCTCAGGTTAATTCCTGTCACATGACTTCCTTCCATATCCACACTTTTGAGGTTAGCACCTTCTAAATTGGCTTTAAGACCAGAAGGATCCTCAAAATTACACAGTTTCAGGGATGCTCCTTCTACATTAGAACAGAGTATCTTGACTCCCTGGAGATTTGCACAGTCAAGCACTGATCCAGTGAGATCGGCTTGTTCAAGACTTACACAGCAAAGATTTGCATGTGCAACACTGCAGCAGCTTAAATTGGCCGTTTTGAAGTTAATGTATCGAGGGTCCAAACGAGAAAGATCAGCACCACTGAAGTTCAAACCCTGGCATCGCAGTTCTGACTTGGTTGGAGTTACCAGCAAAAATCAGACAAATTCCTTTCAGGATATTGGTAAATAATCCTCCAGTGGTTGAGAATTCTTTATTGCCACTTCTAGGTGTTCAATCAATGAGTAAATACCAAAAAATCTTGCTTCTTCTAACACATCCAATAAATGAGTGCCATCATTTACAATAAGCTATCCGTGACGCAAGTAGTTCAAAATGGGTTCAAAGTACTCAGGACTTCGGTCAGTTAAGAAAGCTCCTCTATGATCTTGCTTATTTCCCAGACACCTTTGTCCTTAAACACATGGGCCAGCATACTGTCAGGGTCTTTATTCGCTAAAGTGCTCTGTGTGGTTGTAAAGTACCGCCCTCCAACATTTAATGTTAGCCAGTCTGTGTGGAATCCTGACAATCCCTCAGGTGGCTTAGAATCTGTCTGAGGATCAATAAATGGCTCTCCTCCACACACAAGACATCATCATCCCTGATCAAAGCAATATCATCAATCAGCCCACCTTTCCCATTACACACACTGGTGGCTTCTATGCTGAGTTTACTGCTGACCACAGAAAGCAAATCAGATAAAGTTCCATACACAGCAACCACCTTTCTGTTCTTAGGGCTGCCGTTCAGGAACACTGTGACCCACCTCATCGTGCTGCCCCCGCGGGGTCCTGAGTGAACTGCCACCCTCCCACCTGGTCCTCCTCCCACCTTTTTCTCCTCCCACCCTTCTCCTCGCTCCATCCACTGGGATTCACCTCCCTTCGCCACCTTCCTGCGCCTGGGGACACACCACACACACTCACTCTGTCCCACATCCGGACTCGGATGGTCCTCCTTCCCACCCTGCCCCTAGGCTCCTCCCAGTCTGTCTTTTTTTGAGTGGGGCTTTATTAACTTTTGGAATCAGTGTTAGGCTGGCTTGATAAAAATAAATGGTACTTTTGTTTACCGTATTTTAAAAACCAAGTGTGTGTGTACATTTAGTACAATATCAGTGTTTACAATGGTAAAGCCATTATACAGAAAAACCAGGCGATTCCCCTTATATCCAATAAAAGAAAGCCACATATAGGCTTCACAAATTCCACTTTTTGAAAACCGAATAAATTAAAATATACCTTTTGAGATCTAGCCTGAATGTGACTTTTACGAAAAAAGCACAAAAATTATAAGTGTACTACCCTTCAACACATTAAAAATTAATAATGATGTATTTCAGTTATTTTTCCCATCTTAGACAATTTAGCAATACACTGAGGGCTGCACTGTAAGAGTTAGACCATGAAAGCTTAGAGTTATTATCTATATGCGCAAAGAGAAAATTAAACAAATTCTTCGATATTGCATGTTTCACATGCTCTGAACTCAAATAGAATGATTGAAAAACCTTTTCGGATTCTCAGAAAATGAGTAACACTGAGCAGGTTCACAGCTTCCAGCTGCCACTGCCGTCCAAGTCACTCTGAGCAACCTTCCACAGCTGCTGGGCGAGGCTCTTGCCAGCTTTCCACAGGGTTCAGTACAAATGTTAGACATCCACCTCTGCAAGGGATCGACGGGATTCATTTATTTCTCTAATGCATTCTGCATCCAGACAGCCCCACAACATACACCGCCCTGCCTGCATGTCAGAAGGATTTCACACATGCATGGTGACAAATGGACCTCTGGAGGGACCAAAGAAACCACAGCACATCCAGTTACCTTTTGTTTCTCATCGGTCTCCCCACTCTAGATGTAAACTCCCTGTGGGCAGTGACGTCATCTGCCTAAAACAGGTCTGGCACAGGGTAAGTGGTCAAGAAATATCTGACGAGGGAAGGACTGGATGGGTCATGGGTCACTGAAGTGCTTCCATGTGGCCAGGACTGAAGGCCTGCTGGGTCCCGCCTGCCCGGTCCCTCCTACCTGTGCCGCTCCTCAGGCGGCTCTCGGCGAGCTCCGAGATGGCTCCGGCAGTGGCGGTCTTCTTCAGGCGAGCCACCCCCGATGCAGTGGTACTTCCTGGCTTGTTGAGCGTGTCCTCACTGCTGGCCCTCTTGAGCTGAGAGAGTTGGAGGGAAAGAGAGAGGATGAAGAGGTGGTTTTCAGGAAGGAGCGCTATAAACAAGCAGAGCATGGGAGCTGGGCTATGTGCCCAGCAGTCAAGATACAATAACAGCACTTTGAGTAGCGTGATAGAGTGACGTGAAAAAATGCAAAGCTACACAAACCTGTTTCTGTCATTACAGGTCCGAGTATGATCTCCCATGACTGTTTCAAAGGGCAGCATAAGACTGTGTATGAAGAATACCATCAGGTCACACTTCAAGTAATGAGCCTTAAAAAATGTGGCTGGGCACCGTGGCTCACGACTATAGTCCCAGAACTTTGGGAAGCTGAGGTGGGAGGACTGCTGGAACTCAGGAGCTCAAGACCAGCCTGGGCAACACAGTGAGACTGTGTCTCACTAATTTTTTTTAAAATTAGCTGGGCATGATGACGCCCAGGAGGCTGAGGTGAGAGGATTGCTTGAGCCCAGAAGTTCAAGGTTGCAGTAAGCTATGATTGTGCCACTGCACTCTAGCCTGGGTGACAAAGTGAAACCTTGTCTCTAAACAAAAATATTAAATAAAAAATAAATCCGCTTTCCTGGCAGGGGAAAAAAAGAATGGGAACCAATGAAAAAAGAACTGGGAGATGAGCAAAAGGCAGGGTAGGGCAATGCACAAGAAATTCAAGGACAACAAAAAAGGGCTCATGACATAGGCCAGGAGGACGTGGAGGGAGAGAAACAATCTGAGTATCTGCTGTGGCCTCACCACCACGCATTCTGTAGATTATCTCACACAGAAGATGTGTTCAAACGTGAGAAAGGAACTTTCTTGGAGGCTGGAAGACAGAAGAAAGCAGAGTCCCCTGTTCTGGCTTTGCTTTCTTCCCTGTCATGGGACAAACATTTGCTAAAAGGTGCTGAAGTCTAAGAAAGGAGACTCCTAAGTGATCCACACGTCAGGCCCAGATAGATTACATTTGAGGTTAATGAGAAAAACCACAACTAAATTCTCTCAACCACTGTTTAATCTTCATGAAAGAAGGCTCTGGAGAGGAACGGTGCAAAAAGACTGGAGAAGGCAGCTGCCCAGAGCCGTCTAATGTATCTGACATCCGGAGCACACAGTATGGAAACGCCCTTAAATCAATGTGGACATGCAGTGGATGAGCCCCGCCCATCACACAGGCTGAGGGGAAAAGCCCTGCTCCATCCTACTCCACTGGCTTTGGGGTCATTTACTGAGAGTTAGAAGTTTAAATATTTCCACAATTTTTTAAAGTTTCCATCTTTGCATCATTTAAATTTCAGGGCATAACTACCCTCAGCTCACCATAGCTTGATGGTGAAAAAACACCAAAACCAAGTGTTGGTGAGACTGAAGCAACTGGAATGTGCGTGCCCTGTGGGTGGAAGTGTAAACTGGCATAATTGCTTTGGAAAGTGGCAGTATCTACTAACACCAAGGCCGGAAAATAGAAGAAAGCAACGCCCTCTGTGCTCGCTTCCCTTTCTTCCCTGTCATGAAAGGGGTAGGACAAACATTTGCTGAAAGGCACCAAGTCGAAGAAGGGAGACCCCTAAGTAAGCACAGCACACAGTCCTCTGTGATTCAGCAATCCCATTCCTAGATCCACACCCAAGAGAAGTGAGTACATAGGTACCTCAAAAGAATGTTCATAGCACCTTTTTTATAGCAGCCCAAAACTAGGACACCCCAAATGTCCTTCAACAGAAAGGATAAATGCAATGGGAACTACACAGCAAATAGGAAAAAAATGAATTACTGATACACTAATAAATGGGTGGCTGTCCCAGGTATTATGCTAAGTGAAAGAAGCAGACACAAAGGAGTATATACTGCCTGATTCCACTTGTATTAAGTTTAAAAGCTGCACAATCAAATGATGGTAATGCAAGTCAGAATAGTGGTTACCTCTCGCGGAGTTACAACGGAAAAGAAACCTTCTGGGGTGCTGGAACGTTCGACATCTTGACAGGGTGGTGGTCACACAAGTATAAACAAATGTAAACATGCAATGAGCTTTATAGCTAAGATTAAGATTAGGGTACTTTATGGACTTTATTGTAAATATGCTGTGCTTCATTAAAACAGAAAAAGAAAATTGGGGTGAAGGAAGTCTGCAATTTGGGCAAAGTCCTAGTTCCACTCCTGCAAATACTAGCCTTCGGTTTTGGTTTTTTTTTTTCTCGGGTTTTTTTTTTTTTTTAATTTTTAAAACTTTACTGTTCTAAAATAAGCATAATATAAAATTCACCATTTTAGGTGCACAATTCAGTGGCATTAAATACATTCACCATGTTGTACAACAATCACCACCATCCATCTCCAGAAATGTTTACCGTCACAAATAAAGTCTACTCATTAAACAGTAACTCGCCGTTGCCTTTTAACAAGAGGGATGATGGTAGAAGTCTTTTTATTTTTTAGAGACAAGCTCTTGCTCTGTTACGCAGGCAGGAGTGTAGTAGTTCAATCATGGCTCGCTGCAGCCTTGAACTCCCGAGTTTTCCCACCTCAGCCTCCCAAGTAGCTAGGACTACAGGTGCACACCACTATGCCTGGCTAATTTTTTTAAAGTATTTTTGTTAAGGTGGGATCACATGGCTGGGCGCAGTGGCTCACGCATATAATCCTAGCCCTTTGGGAGGCCAAGGCAGACAGATCACCTGAGGTCAGGAGTTCATGACTGGTCAACATGGTGAAATCCCATCGCTACTAAAAATACAAAAATTAGCCGGGTGAATCTGAGATGAGCCTGGTCAACATGGCGAAACCCCATCTCTACTAAAAATACAAAAATTAGCCAGGTGTGGTGACGCATGCCTATAATCCCAGCTACTCGGGAGGCTGAGGCAGGAGAATCGCTTGAACCTGGGAAGTGGAGGTTATGGTGAGCCAAGATGGCGCCACTGCACTCTAGCCTGGGAGACAGAGCAAGACTCCATCTCAAAAAAAAAGACAAGATCTCACTATGTTGCCCAGACTGGTCTGGAACTCCTGACCTCAAGCAATCCTCCACCTCAGCCTCCCAAATGCTGGTATTACAGGTGTGAGCCACCACTCCCAGCCTGATGGTAGATGTCTTAATATTAGCCATGTGATCTTGATCAAGATTTTAAAACAAATAATTAACTTTTAAAACAAATAATTCACACTAAAAGGATAATTTGTGTGCAACTCCAGTTACTAGATGTCAGCATGATCACATTTTGTTTTGTTTTATTTTATTTATTTTATTTTATTTTATTTTATTTTTAGACAGAGTCTTACTCTGTCAGCCAGGCTAGAGTGCCGTGGTGCAATCTTGGCTCACTGCAACCTCTGCCTTCTGGGTTCAAGTGATTCTCATTCTCCCAAGTAGCTGGGACTGCAGGTGTGTGCCTCCACACCTGGCTGATTTTTGAATTTTTAGTAGAGACGGGGTTTCATCATGGTGCCCAGGCTGCTCTCAAACTCCTGATCTCAGGTGATCCACCTGCCTCAGCCTCCCAAAGTGCTAGGATTACAGACGTGGACCACCACACCCGGCCCATGATCACATTTTCTGAACAACAGCACAGTTCCCTAATTTAGCAACTGGACTGTATTAGTCTGTTCTCATGCTGCTAATGAAGACATACCCAAGACTGGGTAATTTACAAAGGAAAGAGGTTTAGTTGACTCACAGTTCCACATGGCTAGGGAGGCCTCACAATCATGGTGGAAAGCAAAGCAGGAACAAAGTCACATCTCACTTTGCTCCTGGTAGGCAAGAGAGAGCATGTGCAGGGGAACTCCCCTTTATAAAACCAACAGACCTCCTGAGACTTATTTACTATCATGAGAACAGCACGATTCAATTACCTCCCACCGGATCCCTCCCACAACACGTGGGAATTATGGGAGCTACAATTCAAGATGAAATTGGGGTGGGGACACAGCCAAACCATATCATGGGCCAAACATGACACTTGAAATGATCCAGAAGTTACACTACTGCCCTTCTTAGAGGAATGCTGTAAAGGTCTTTCCACTTCCCATCTCAGTGTAAAAAGCATTCCTTCACTCAAGCTCTCCAGCCTCTCAAACCATCCATCAGGTCACCTGTATAATACATGTTTAATATTAAATGACCATAGTATATAATGTCGGCAGCTTTTTCTCAATAGAGAAAAACGATTACTCACTCTTCCAAGAAGCACACGCAGGTGCCTCCCCGGTCCCCAAAGGAAAACCAATTCTGGTTTGAGACTTTGAAAACTCCCTAGATGACATCTCAAATGAAAAAGGGAAATCACAGTGGTTAAGGGAATTCTTAACGCAATAATGCAAGCCATACACACTGGATTCTGCTTTTCCCCTGTCTGATTATCTGACATTACTAAAATCTGCAAGTCTGACTCAAAGTGCAGAATTTTCAAACTCTACAGCAAAGGCCAAGAGAGGAAGGGCTCTGTGAAACCCAGAATAAACCGGGAAATCCAACAAATGAGAGCACTCCTACTGGGAAGAGAAGTGAAACCCCCTCGGAGATCCCACCACAGCCTCCGTCCCCAGCCACCACCCCAGAGCAGCAGAGGTAGAGCTTGCCCTGCCCCCTTCCATAAGGGGTTGGTTCCTGGGACTCGAGGTCTGGCTGAGACGACAGTTGGAGGAAACACAGGACAGCAGTGGGCAAGCAGTGGGAGTTTTGCCTTTGGTGCACTGCAAAACGACCTGGCACGGCAACAGAGGTGGCGCCAGTCATGATAAGAACAGGGGTGAAGCAGTAACCGTGACTGGGGGAAAGCACAGGTAGCTGCAGCACCACGCTCAGGGCTGGAGGATCTCTGGTGGGGAGTTAGCAGTAAGTGCTGCATCGCAGGGTTTGTTTTTGTTTTCAAGGGTGGGGAGGGAGTGGGAGATGCGAAAGAGGACTTGGGACCTGGGATCTCTATATAGGAGGCTCCCAGCAATCACACAGGAAGGAGGCAGCCCAGGGAGTGGTGAAGGGAGCGGCGCTACTTCT